CTTCGTTGCGGCGTGCAGGCTTCTCACTGTGGTGGCTTCTCACTGCGGTGGCTTCTCATTGCGGAGCACGGCTCTACATGCATGGGATTCAGTAGCTGTGGCATGCAGGCTCAGTAGTTGTGGCTTGCGGGCTCTAGAGCACAGGCTCAGTAGTTGTGGCTCAGTGGGCTTAGCTGCTCTGCGGAATGTGGGATCTTCCCGCACCAGGGATCGGACCCATGTCCCCTGCATTCACAGTTGGATTCTTAACCACTGCACCACCAAGAAAGTCCCCCCAAAAGTTTTAAACAAAAGTATAGATTAAGTTTATATGTGTGTGTTATTACAGATCTGGCACTTGGAGATAATTTTTTAATGAACTTACCCAAAGTTCTAAAAAATTTCTAAAATGTAATCAAAGCTTGGAAAATTAATACACTATACTAACACATACTGCAGGTAAAAACTGTCAACTTGTGTGGTACGCCATGAGGAAAGACACAGGCCAAAGGAACAGAATTGAGAGCACAGAGACAAACCCATACATCTATCGCTAACTGATTTTCAAACGACGGCGCCAACATCATGAAAAAGGGAAAGAACAGCCTCTTTAACAAACGGTGCTGGGACACCTGGAGAGCCACGTGCTGAAGAATTAAACTGGACCACTATCTTACACCATATACAAAAAATAACTCAAAATGAATTAATCTAAAAATAAGAGCTAGAACTATAAAACTTCAAGAAAACATAGAGGAAAATCTTCATGGCTTTGGAGTTGGCAATGAATTCTTAGATGTGACACTGAAAGCACAAACAACAAAAGAAAAAATAAGACAAATTGGACTTCATAAAAATTAAAAACTTTTTTGCATCAAAGGACATCAAGAAAATGAAACTACAACCTACAGAATGGAAGGAAGTATTTGCAAATAAGGGTCTAATATCCAGAATATACAAATAACTCTTACAACTCAACAACGAAAAAACCCAATTAAAAAATGGACAAAGGACTTGAAAAGACATTTCTCTCAAAGAAGATAAAACAAATGGCCAACCAGAACACAAAAAGTTGCCCAATATTATTTGTCATTAGGGAAATGTAAACCCAAACCACAGTGAGATACCACTTCACACCCACCTGGATGGATATAATTAAGAGAGGAAAATAATAAGTATAGGTAAGGATGTATAGAAATTGGAACCCACCTACATTGCTGGTGGGAATGTAAAATGGTACAACAGCTGTGTAAAACAGTTTGGTAGTTCTTCAAAAGTTAAACATAGAATTACCATATGACTCAGCATTTCCACTCCTAGGTATATATCCAAAAGAATTGAAAACAGGTACTCAAACACTTATACGTGAACGTCCATAGCAGCACTATTCACAATAGCCAAAAACTGTAAACAACCCATACGTCCATGTACATACATACAATGGAATATTACCCAGATACAGAAAGGAATGAACTACTGATACAATACACCCAATCAAAATTCCAAGATATTTTATAAAAACTGACAAGGTGGTTCTATTATATATATTGAAATGCAAATAACCTAGAAAAGCTATATCTATTTCCCAAAGAACAGACTGACATTACTTGATTTCAAGACTTACAGCAGAGCTACAGCAATAAAGATAGTGTAGGATTGGTGAAAAGATATAATAAATCAATGGAACAGAACAGCATCCAGAAACAGACCCATACATATACTGTTAATTGGTTTTCAACAAAGATGTCAAAGCAATTCCAAATACAGTCTTTCAACAAATGGTGCTGGAACAATTAACTATGCATGTGGAAAACAATTAACTTGAAATGGATCAGAAACCTAATGTACAATTAAGCTTCTGGAAAAAAAGAATATACACACACACATATATATACTGATATATTTTTTAAAGACATTTATATATACATATGAATAAAGTCTTCATGATCTTAGGGGTAGACAAAGATTTCTTAGATAAGACACAAAGAGCCTAAACCATATAATGGCTGATATAATGGACTTAATCAAAATTAAAAACTGCTCTTTGAAAGACACCAATAAGAAATCAAAAGATGAGCCACAGAATAGGAGAAAATATTCAGTACACCTATATCTATCAAGTAACTGATATCCAAAAATAGGCAAGGAATTATTACAACTCAGTAAGACAAACAACCAAATAGGAAAATAGGCAAAAAAAATTTGAACAGACAAGTCAACAAAGAAGATATACATAGTTTTTTTTAAATAATAAAAAAGAAAGAAAAAGGAAGACATACAAATAATAAATAAGCACATAAAGATGCTCATCATTAGTCAGTAAGATGATACAAATAAAAACTGTGAGATAACACTACATACCTACTAGAATGGCTAAAACAAAAACAAACAAATAAAACCCTGACAATACCAAATACTGGCAAGGATGTGAAACAAACGAGTCTCGCATATTGCTGGTGGGAATGCAAAATGGCACAGTAGCTTGGGAAGACAGTTTGGCAGTTTCTTAGAAAGTTAAACATACCCTTAACAATATGACCCAGCAATGCCACTCCTAGGTATTTATCCAAGTGAATTGAAAACTTATGTTTATACAAAACCTATATGCAAACATTTAAAACAACATTATTCATAACTGGCAAAAAGCAGAAACAAACCAAATGTCCTTTAACTGGTAAATGAAGAAACTGTGGTACATCCAATACAGTGGAATACTACTTAGCAAGATAAAGGAACAAAGTATTGATACACACAATATGGGTATTTTGTTAAGTGAAAAAAGCCAGACAAAAAGGCTATAGGGACAGAGAACAGATCAGTAAGAGGGACTGACTTCAAAGCGTAATTTACAGAGTGATGGAACTGTTCTGTATCTTGATTGTAATAGGATACACAACTATGCATTTATCAAAAATAGGCTCAAATACCACATACAGTGAGCTATATTGCATACAAATTAAAAAAAAAACTACAGTGATAAAAAACAGATCAGAGTTGCTAGGGCTTGCGATAGAAGAACAAGAGAGAACAAGAGCAAAAGAGAGAAAGAACAAGAGAGAAAATTTTTTTGGCAACATAGCTGTTGCACATCCTGACTGTGGTAGAGCTTATATAATTACATGCATCCGTCAAAACTCATAGAACTATACACTAAAAGAGGTAAAATTTATTGTATGTAAAATTATACCTCAATAATGCCGAATTTCTTTTTAAAAAGATGCCATATATACTCACCAGACTGGCTAAAATTAAAACAGATTGACAACACCAAATGTTATTAAAGGTGTGGTGCATCCAGAATTTATGTACTGTTGATGGGAATGTAAGATGGTACAATCACTATGGGAAAAGTTCTGACAATAAAACCAAACATACACCTACCCTATGAACCAGCCATTCTATTCCTAAGTATTTACTCAAGAGAAATGAAAACATATATTCATGCAAAGACTAATTCACAACTATTAGTAGCAGCTTTGTTCATAATAGCTACAAACTAGAAACAACCCAAATGTCCATCAAAAGGTGAAAAGATAAATAAAATGTAGTATGTTTATACAATGGAATAGCAGTCTACAATATAGAGGAACTCCTACTGCATGCAACAATATGGTCAAAACTCATCAAACTGTAAACTTTAAATGGATACAGTTTATTGTATGTAATTTAAACTCCAAAAAGTTTTAAAAATCCAGCATAA